TAGTGGATGATATGGCAAAGTGTTCCAATAAAATATATTAGAAAATAAAATCCCTGGTATGTTTAATTAAAACATTTCTTTGAATAGAAAAACAGTTTAGGGCCGGAGATTTAGCTCAGTGGCACCACTCCTGCCTCGCAAGTAGAAGGTCCTGAGTTTGATCCCTGGTACCCCAAAACACCAAAAAACCAGTTTGAAAACAATTTGTGGCAGCATGTAGTATTTGTGTGCCAAGTGAGATGCCTCGAGCAGGGCATCAGCAAGAGCTGAGGGCCAGGAGGTGTGCTTGGCTCAGCTCAGCGCTGTCCTGGGAACAGCTCTGCGGTCAGAGAGGCAAGCGGGTCAGTCAGTTCTTTGGAACTTCGATTTGTCATAGTCTGTTCACCGATTTTTTTTGTTAAGTATCTTCTCGTTGGAGTTCAGTGAAACATGACTGAGAATGGGAGGAAAGATGAATGACAATAAAAGAATAGAAAAGAATAACAAAATATGGTTAGAATATGGTTCAAAGGAATTTCAAGAAAATATATCTGGACTATACTGAAACCATTTGCGGTGGAGACACCTAGTAGTTGCAAGTATGTCTCTATCAAATAAATTCAATGTCTTTGAAATTTATGATGGTAAATTGTTATTAATAATCATTTGTATGTAGCAGTTTCTGTGCCAAGCACTTTTCTGAGCTCCATTTTTTGTTTTAAGTTGTTCAGTCCTCACATCATCTGAGTAGGCGCTCTGACTGCTGCCACTGCTGCGATCGCAGAACTGAGACACAGGTGTGAGTCATGCACTGTGGACCCAGGGCTCCCATGTGATGGAGCTGGGATTCCAGTTCACATTTCCACGAAGGAGTCTTTTGATCACTGCATTTACTGAAACTTGTATCAGAAGGTGATGTTAAAGACCTGGAAGTATAAAATACTGGTATTAGCGTATTGATACCTCACCGGCAGAGAAGAGACAGGTCAAAGAGTCCATAGCACAGACTAGGCATGAAACAAAGGTTTGACTTTTGTGGGAATAGATTCTTTTAAGAGTAAGACTCCTAGAAATATAAACATATATTTAAAAATTAGCACCTGTGGGCCAGGGATTTAGCTCAGTGGTTCTGGCACCTGACTCGCAAACAAAAGGTCCCAGATTCGATCCCTGGTACCAAAAACAAAAAAAACAAAAAAAATTAGCATCTGGTTTTGGGTGTTTATAGATTTCATGGGTTCTAGATTAAAGATCCCTCATTTAAATACTTTTTTAAAAAGGAGAGGGTATATCAAATTGTGGTGACTTACCAGTTCTGTGGAACACAGTTAGTGATAAGAGAAGTGAATTAGAGACAAGAATAATGGAGTTTATTGCAAAGACTTGCATTAACTTGCTTTGGTCTAGTCAAACCACTCCTCTTGGACTGAATTTTTTTTCACTTGTTAGTGAAAGAAGTCAGGCAAAATTATTTTTGAGATTCCTTCTGTTAATACTCAGTAATTCTGAGTAGCTCATGTAATTCAGTAACAAGAACTAACACTAGTAACATCCTGATTGTGCAGTGCTTTTGGATTATAAAGAATATTTCCATGGCTTCTTTGTTGAACTGTTAGGGATTTTACCTTTAAGAGATAAGGTAGATACACCATTAAATAACTTTAAATATTTTAAGTACTCTTTCTGGTCTTACTACTTTATATTATACTTCATTTTAAAATGTTTTTATTTTTAAACACTAATTCCATTCAACTTTAAAAATTGTTTTGGTACAATTTGTTAAACTCTTTGTTATCAACTCAATGAATCTGTGAACCCCGTGAGTTTTTTATTACCTTGACTAGAAAAAAAAGAATTTAGGTTTTTTTTCTCTTTTCTGTTTTTAGTCTGCAAGTCATATTGCGTCTAATCCAAAAGCAAGTGCAAAAATGAAGAAGGACAACATGAAGTATGCAGGTTGGGCAGCTGATCAGATCAACAGGGCTTACCAGGTCTGCTTGTGAGGGGTGGTTGTATGGGTTAGTGCACTCCTTAGTGCACTTCGCCTCTGTGAGCTCAGAGCCAGCATCTGGTTGGCCATCTGTGCCTCTGGGCCATGATCAGACAGCTTTGTGTCAATTGTATAAAATTAATGTGCAGTTTTAGGGCTTTAATTATGATCTTGGCCTGATTATCAATCATTTCTAGATTCTCAGTTTGACAAATATAAATTCTAAACATCCAGAAAGGTAAATCGCGTGGTGCATTTCAGAAGGAAGTAGCACATGAGCACTTGATCAGTGGGAGAAAGGAGGAAGAGGGGCCCGAGGTGAACTTCCTGGGCCGTACCAGAGCTGCAGCCTGCTCACCTTGCACTAAAACTTCTCCACTCATTTCTGAGTTGTCTGGTGCTCATCTCTAGATTTTTCAGGAAATAATTTTTCATGGGAAATTTGCTGATGGGAACAACTATTGCATGTTTATATTTAAAGGATGGTTTGGTTCTGTATCTCTTCTTTGGCTTATATTTACACACTTCACTGTATGTCTTAAAGATACTGTTGCAGTGGCTTTCATGATACAGTGTTGCTGTCCAGAAGCCTAATGCCATCCTAACCTTCTTTCTGTCGTAAGTGACTTAGACTTTTGTTTAGTTACCCAAAGGAACTTTTTTCTTTATCTTAAATCCAGTAGTCTTGTTATGATACATTTTGTTAGGTTTGTTTTACCAAGTACACAATACAGTACATTTGTTTATTAGTATGTGAATTCAGTCCTCTGTGAGAAAAGATCCTTTTATATTTACAATTATATTTTTTCCCATTTGCTTAAGTTTTCTTTTTCAGGGCTCCAATTATAACTGTGTTACATTTTCTTTTCCTATCTTTTACTCATTTTCTTTCAAATTTTTTGACCCTTTTTTATATCTTATGTTTTTCTTTTTTTCCTCCATAATAGTTTTTTATTCAGAGTCTGTTTTGTTTTCTGTTTAAATGAAGCAGTTTTCCTGGGCTGGTAGGAGGAAGGGCTCATGGAATGAGGGGAATTGGAGATAAGACAGGGTCACTTTCCAAGCTTGACTCCTGTGAACTCGAGAGAACTCAATCTTGACCTCTTTGTGTACTAGGTCTTTGTCAGAACTCAGTCTGAGTCAGGCTTTCTGGTTTCATTCTACCCTCTAGAGTCTGAAGATTGTGAGTTGTAAGGTGTTGCTTTCAGGTTTAACTTAGGCATTGTGGCCATAGTTTTGATTATGTTTGTGTTGCTGCCTCTGGGCATTGTTCTTCGCTTACCCTAACCACCTCTGCCTCTTACCCCAGCCTTTCTTCCTTATTCAGGTTGGTTTCATTTTCCATGGTTGTGTTGGTGTTTTGTTTTATTTTGTTTTTTCATGGTGTGAGGTTTTGTGCTTCTGGAAGAGGATATTGGAGAGATTTGCTTACTGGTTAGATTTGTTCATCTCACATTTGTGTGAAGTTTTTCATCCTTGTCTTTGCTTGGAACCTCTGAAGACTTTTTAAGTTTTGTAGGTCATTTGTAGGTTCATCAGTTCAGGTCCTTTTGGAGGTTACTGTTGTTTATAATTTTTGGTTTTGCGTTGCTTCCAGAGCAGTAGGTTGTTCCCTATCACTTCCTGTTGCTCTTACTGTACAGCTGTGGAGCTTTTGCAGATCCTGCTGCTGTTGGTGACATAAACACCTAGCACTTGAGGAAGATGCTTGTAATCTGGTTCTTGTTGACAAAGTACTGTGTGGGCTTGCTTTTTGTTGTATTGTTTTTGGTGTGGTGCTCTTTGTTTCTTTATTTTCATTCTCCTGATTGGAGAAGATTGGGAAGATTTTAAAACATTCAGTGGCCAGTAACCTCAGCTTCAAAAGTCACCTTTTTGTGTTTATATTATATATTACAAGCAGTATTAGCTCTGTTAATACATGAATATTGGGTGAGCTGACCTTCAGATGCAGTTGGGGTAGCTCAGATCTAGTGAGGCTCCTTTCAGAGTAGGCCTGGGGCGTGCGTGTGCACGAGAGAGGTTTAAAGATGTCATATAATACAAAACTAATAGTATGCACATATTGTTATATTTTTGAGAAACAACTAGCTACTCAAAAAAATGCTTTTTTTGACAAAGCATGACTTCTAAATACAACTTTATAATATACATAGAAAACGAACTGAAGTCATAAATAGGCATCTCAGTTAATAATACAAGGTAAATGCGTCCAAGTCAATAAGTAAACATGCCTTCTTCCTAGGTCCTTCCATTTCTACCCCGTTCTCAGGAGCCCTAACTTCCAGCCCCATGGTTCATGGAGCCAGGCAAGGGGGATTCCCTTTTGCCTGGCCTGGTTCACTTGCTGCTAGGTCTGTGAGACTGCGCTGTGCAGACGTCTGTAGTTCTTCTGTTTCTCACTGTACTGCAGTCTGTGGTGTGAACGTGGCGGAGTTTAGCCAGTAGTTGATGGCAGCTGGACTGTTTCCGCTGCTCTGGACTTTCTGTGCCATCTGGTCTACATGCACCTGTGCTTGGAAGGGGCACGTGCCATCCAGCAGAAGCACTGGGTCCTGGAGTGTGTGTGTCTGTTCAACTGTAGGAGGAAGGTGCAGCTTGCCAAGTTAGCTGTCTGCCCACGCCAGCCTTGGAGAGCTCTGGTAGTCTGCGCCGACACCAGCGCATGGCAACCCAGACCCTTCCAGTCTGTCAGTTCCCCGGTGTGCCGGTGCTCACTGCCGACCGGTGTGTCCTGTCCTGCCTCTTGCACATCTCCCTGGTAATCAGCGAGGCTGAACAGTGTCAAGTGACTTTTGGCCATTTGACTCTCCTCTCTTGGGAAGTCTTTTTCTTACCTGTTGGTATGATTGCTTGGTTGGTTTGTTTTCTGGTTATGAGCTATTTTTTAGTTACATGTGTAGTAAATATCTCCTTACTTTTACTCAAATGAGTTTGACGCCTAGAAGTTTTGAAGGTAAATGTGTTCAAATGTATCAGTCATTTCCTTTCTGATTTGTGCTTTTTGTGTGTTCTGTTTAAGAAATCTTTTGGTACTTCATGGTCAAAAAAGGTAATATTGTATGTCTCCAAAATTCCTGTTCTTTTACTTTTCATGCTTAACTCCCTCATCCATTGGAGTTAATTTCTGTACATGATACAAGATAGCTTCTTTGCACCGTGGAAGTGAGGTCCGTGTAGTGAAGGTCCAGAATGTAGACCCCTGTTGTCTTGGTTCAGAACCTGACTCTGGCGTTAATTAGCAATGCAATCTTGGGTACATGATGTAGTATTTCTGGACCTAGCTTTTCTTTTCCAGGATGGACATAAAAGTATTCTAAGGAGTTCAAACATAATTTTCAACAGATGACAGTAATGTATATGTTTCCTCATGTGTATTAATCACACACTTCAAGTTCACCTCCTCTGCCTGTTGCAATACTGGCAAACAGTTTATTACGAGAGTCACCCCAACTCCTATGGTTGAGTGCAGGGCCTCCCACTCGCTGGGCAGGCACCTGTCGGGCTGAATCCCCAGCCCTCCTTCGTTACAGATGGGGAGTCAAAGCTCAGAAGGATTCCCAAAGCGAGCCAGCTGGTCAGTGACACTGGTTTCAAAACCGGAACGGCTTTGAAAAGTGGACAGCCTGTGGAAAGCTGTCGGAGTGGAAGTATCAGACGGTATCATTCCAGTTCCTGATGCCGTCCTCAGTCATTTTCTGTCAGAACTCATTGATATCCCATCACTGTTTCTGTCTTCATTTCAACCCTAAAGCTCTCAATAGTAGTTAAACTCAAGAGTTGCTTTTGTTTGGGCTTTTTCCCATCTCTTGAGTGGCAGAAACCCCCTTGATTAGGTCCACAGGCAGATGTGCCCTTGCTCTGTAAGATGTACTCTGTAATCGTGTGGGCATGATCCCACGTGGCTGACATTCATAAACTAGACCCTGGTTGTGGTCCCACCACCCACCGCAGTCTCTCTCTGTCCTCCCTCCTCCCCCTTCCTCCCTCCCTCCATCATCCCCCTCTCTCCACCCCCGCTGTGGCGTATTACTAGATCAGTCCTCTGGCCACGCAGCCCTGCAGGTCCCCGTGTCCTGGGTCAGGAGCTCTGGGAGCAGCACTTGTGCTCCTCAGACTCTTGAGTGTCACAGTCAGCTGCATGGTGCCCAGAGCCCTTCTGCGCATCTTACTGAAGATAGGATTTGCCTTTTCTTCATTTCATGGAAGAGACAGTGGAAGAGTTTTTCTTGTCAGTTTCTCCCTGAGTTTCGGATGCTGCTCCAGGAGGTAACATACCTCTCGCCGTGGTCATTAGGGTTTCAGTGCAGCAACTTCCAGTGTTCCGCAGTTGGGCATCACCTCTTATGTAAAATTTGTTTTTACCTTGATGCCAGTAGCAGGGTTTAAATAAAACTTTTGGGCTTTCTAAGCATTCACATTCTGTGCTTTCTCTGTGGAGGTTGTGTGGTTGCGGGAGACCCCCTGACCAAGGTGAGAGCAGGCTGCAATGTGGAGCAGCATTCTCTCCTTGTAACGGGACGGGCCACGTTGCATCGGAGCTGGACTGGGGCCTGTGTGGCTCACGTCACAGGAGCAGGTTGGGTGGCGCTCAGGCTGGTGGAGCCTCAAATCCAAGTCCTGACCCGTGAGGCTGTGGGGCTCCTCAGTGAGATACCAGCGCTGTGTACTGCACGGCAGGCGCAGACCACATTGCCTTCCTAGCGCTACCCGCCCTTCATTGTTTCAGTAGATAACTGGTTAAACCACCACTGACTTTGGTCTGCTCTGCTCCTTTTGCAAGAATGCCTTACCCTCTTTTCTACAAGCCTTGCCTGTGTCAGCTGGTATCTCCAGATGCCGTGAGTATCCCGTACCCTAGTTTTACCCACGCCTGTGTAATCAATAAATACCTAAGGTCCTGGTTGCTTTAGGCATGGTCCCTTCCCAGTTCCCCGCTTTCTGTATAAGTCTGCTTCCCTTGTCTTTCCTTTACCTTGCATCCCATGGCCTTGCAGGACATTGAGACTCTTGGATGGGATCTTTGACATTTTTGTCTATGAACCAAATTCCATAAATGTTTTTGCCCATTATCGCTTGCTGACTTACTCGCTCTTAGCTCTCTATGGGCAGGAAGTGGGCTTGAGTTCTGCTGAGTACCTCTGCTGGTCTGTCTGGGCTTGCTCCTGTTTCAGCAGAAGCTTCTTGGTGACCTCCCTTGGACAGTGGGCAATGGATGTCAGCTGCAGTTGCTGGGCCTGTGTCTCTCACCCTGGGCTGACTTGCGCTTCCTCACATGTGGTCGCAGGTTTCAAGAGCCGTGGCAGGCCAACTCCAGTGTGCATAAGCATCTGATCGTACCACATTTTGTTAAAACAAATCACACAGTTAATCCTGACTCACGGCATCTCAAGTGGGAAGAGAAATCTGTGGTCATTGGGCTCTTTATTACACTGTCGCCTAAGTCTTAGTCCCACCCTTTTGTCTTAGTTTGTTGGGCATCTTCTGTGCTCCTGGTGTGTGGTGTCACACGTTCTCAGTGTGTGGTGGCAGTGTGTACGTCCTCCTCTCACCACCACAGCCAGGATGCACAGCGCTTTCTTCTCTCAGGAAGTGCACTCTGCCATGACACTTCGCATCCAGCCTCCACGCACAGCAAGCGAGTGCTGACTTAATTTTTATCCAAAATTAGTTTTGCCTGCACTGGAACTTTATACATGAGATCCTAGGTTATGTACTCAGTCTTTTATATCTGGCTTCTTTGTTTCTTAAGATTTACCCATCTACCATTCCATTTCATGTATCTTATTACTTTGTCTATCCATATTCTACAAATTGTGTAAAAGTACATTTTAGCCCTTTGTACAGTGTCGCCCAGTTTCTACAGTGGATGAATCATCGGTCTCTGAATTTGATAAGCAAGTTTTTATTATTTGGTTGTTTTTATTTTATGGTGAGTTTTCTTATAGACTACGAAAGGAGAGTTTACTCAAATATAACCATAGGAAAAGAAAAATACAAAATTTGAATAATGTGGAAAAATGTAACTTCCAAAGATTGACATTTTTATAATTAAATAAATCTCTAGGCTCTTACTGAGAACTGCAGGACTCATATCTAGACATTTAAACCAGAATAAAGTGCATAATAAATGTTTCTTTTTGTAGTATTTTTCTAGGTTCTTATAAGTGAGAGAAAATAAATTTTAAGAATTGATTTTCTTTCTTTGCACTTAATGAAACAGAATATGGCTGCTACGCCTGCTTCAGTTAGGTAATTGGTTTGGCATGTTCAGTAGAGGCAGGCACAGTTGATTAATGCTCATGAAAACTTTAATGTGAACCTACTAATGATAATCTTCCAGATAAATGCTTCTTTGGTGTACTGCTAAATTCATCTGTGGTGGTGATCCAGATGTTAATTCTGATTGCAGGGTGATTCTGTTACTGTCCTTTTGGGAAATACAGAATTAAATCAGGATTTGAGGAAAAATACAATTCCGGCTTAATCAGTTAAATTGCCATATAATTCTGGAAGAAACAAAATTGCATGTCAGGAAAAATTTGAAGTAATAGATTTGTATTTCCAACTTTCTTTTTACTTGTTCTGGCACAAATAAGTTAGCTTAGTCTATTTAAATTGCAGCAGTTGTCAGTAGTGTTGACACCATCTTTAGGTGATTTGTTTTTAATTAGCTAATTCTTGAAAATAACACTTCCTATTATTATGTTTAAGTGTAAACCAAGAAAATGCTGTATATTAAAATTTGGGTTAGGATTTAGCGTTACAAAATGTTGAGATTTTCTCTTTGCTATTTAAAAACATTTACAATGCCTGTTGCTGTGTGGAGTCCTGTGTTGTACCTTCCCTGGCAGGCCCATCAGCACTTTCTGTCAGAATTAGTCCTTTTAAGCATTGACCCTTCTGTTTACTTGGAAGGCAGTGGTAAGAGAGAGGCTTTCTGTTCTTGATAAATCCTTGGGAAGTGAATTTATCAAGTGCCTATTTAGAATACGCATGCCTCGTACCCTAAAATATATTTACCAAGGGAAATTACTTCTTTAAAAAACAGTGTTTTAACTGTGGTGCTATTACTATGTTCTGTAATAGTGACGCACAAGTTAACATTTATTTCATTCTTTTAGTGGTGCCTGATGAAAGGCAAAGCAGTCGTGGTTTTTACAGGCTTTTCCCTTTCCCTGGCATTTGCCTTAGAGGCCCCCGTATTTGCTCTGTCAAATAAAGCTTCAGCCACAGAAGTTGCCCTTGAGGAAGTTAGGGGAATTAAAATGTTAAGCTGCAGCCACAAGGGTCAGAGGCCAGCGGCTGGTCCTGAAGCCAGGCATCTGTGGGGTTACCTGCAGGCATCACCTCATCCTTCTGGATAGGTCTGGGACTTGCCAGATTAGTTTCATTCTGGAAGAGAAGAGGCACAGCGTAAGTCAGATACTAAGTCCGGAGACTCCACCACTGTTTGAGAGAAGGATCAGTCACTTGAGAGTGTGGTGACTGGGCAGCACTGCATGTTGCTAATAGCACATTTTAATTAGTACTGTAATCAGGGGAAAACAGGCAGTACCCATGTAATAAACTTGTGTTAAATCAGACTGATAAATGGTGGCGTTGTCCATCCGGTGAGAAACCCATTTAGAACTCAGCAGGGATCCTCGGTGGCATCCCCACTAAGCACATAGGGAATTAAACTTCAGATGCTGTGAACCTGCTTTGATAAACAGATGGTACCGAATGCATTATTTTTTTTTTTTATACAATCCAGTTTAGTTTTATGAAGTGAATTATAACTTAATCAACTAGGAATGGGTATTTTACAGCATTGTACATCATTTTAATATTTGGTATAGAGTGTCACTTGACAACCTTTTGCTGCCCAACACCATACCATTTAGTCAACTAACAAATCTGCAAAGTTAAAAATAAGACCTACTTTAAATAATTTTTGAGAATGCTTCAACCTTAAAATGTTTAATAAAAAGTACTTTTATTTATATTTTACCTTTGTTTGAAATCCTGAAAATCTGTTTAGAGGGGAGACAAGTAGAAATAAGCCATATTCCTACATAAATGAATACTAAATTCAGTTTTACAATAAGTGCTTTTATTTTGGGAATGTTTTGACATCTGAATATAGCCAAGCTTTGAAGTCAGAGCATGAGGTTATAAGCTACTGTGTCACTTAAACGCAGACTGGTGAAGAGTGCAGTGAGATATTTCAACATTGCAGCTAGGATGGAACCTACTGAAGAATATACTTGACTTCATGTTAGTGCTAAAACAGTTAATGTTAATCTTTTTTAGTGACATGAAGGTAAGATTGTGGTTTTTTTTAACCTGCCACTGGAACTGAGCCTAATTGAGCATTTTTTAAAATTAGTTTGCAGGTCGAAGTAAGAAGGAAACCAGATACTCTCTGAAGGCTGTTGGAGACATGCTGGAGACATTGCAGATCACCCAGTCTTAAGGCTTCAGACTGCGACATAGATGTCACAACTGCACAGTTGGACTTTTGGCCTGTGACTTCTTTACTAAAGGCTCGATGCTATTTATACTCCAGTTTCTGTGAAGATAGCAGTTGTAAGGAATGTGTTTATATAAACCAAAAACGCCTTTCACTGCTAAGCAAGAAGATGGCGAATCTGAGGAAGAACGATGAAAGTTCTACGATTGTACACTGGTCTCTTCATATCACGTGTCACACACAGCTGCTCTCAGCCGCAGTCCTGTGTAGAAATGACCTTGTTAAATAAACCACTGATTTATTAGACTTGGATATGGAGACTTGAGCTTCTTTTTTGTTATAACCAGTACCTTGTGTTTGAGCTCAATTTCCAGTTGATGCTTCCTCCCTGAGGTTGGAGTACATAGCACAGGTAACTTGCAGAAACAAATTGTTTTGACTTTGCTGATAGTGTCAGGTTGGGTTTTTCTGTGCATCCCAGTGGACTGTTTTGATTGTTTTATCTCCTGTATTGTTCTGATAAAACTTGGTAAAAATGGGTCGCTCTCCAAGATTCAGCAGTCTCTGAGAAATTTTTGTTTTGATGTAGAAATTTTTACCTATAAAATGCCTTAAGATTAATATATGCCATAAATTTAAGCTTTCTTAAATTTAAGCTTTCCACAAGTTATATTTATTGAAATTTAGCTAAAGTACATAAAATGATATTCAAGAATGGGAGTAGTGTCTGAATTTTCTTAGTTTTGGAAAAACTGAGAAAATATAAACTATTTTTAGAAACAATTAAGATTCTCAACATCCCTTTATCTTCTTAGTTATAAATACAATTTCTTACTCTTCTTAATCAAGTTAGACTACCTTCAACAGTATTTTGCATGCTTCAGTAAGCTAGAAAGACTGAAAGTTAAACACTTTACTTAGGCACATCATTTTTTAGACTAGGTACTTGTGCACTCAGGACCGGTATGTATTATTCATTTTACACTTGAATTTAACTTTATTTGCTCATAAAAGCAATACACAGAGGCTTCTGCAGATTGTCACGGATGGATTCGGCCGAGTGAGGACTGGAGAAACGGAAAGCCCGGAAGTCTCGGGGAAGAAAGCTGTTGCCAGTGTGAGTGTGACGTTTGAGTACTCTGAGCATTAGTAGGGCGTGCTCTCCGTGGCAGCCTGGAGCTGCATCTCTCCTGCTGCCGTGGGTACCAGCAGCTGGCGGGCACTTCTGCCTCTGAGGCCGGCGCTTCCCCGCTGGGCCTTGTTACCACAGCTTCCCTCTGTGCACACCAAGCTGCGGCCTCTGTTAGACACCAGCAGCCGCCCCACACGCAGGGTCACCGTGAGGGTGTCTGCTGCAGCCCGCCGTCCCCCGCCTGTCCCTGTCTGACCTCTCCCCGCGTCCTGGAATCAGTACTTCCTGTGGCGGTTGTGGTTGGGTTGGTACCTAACTTCCTGCCTCGTATGGCTCTGGGCCTCGTTTTCGCTTCATTTTTCTGAGAAAGTAGTATTGTACGTAACTTCTTTGTAATCTGGTACCTTCGGTACATTGTCTGTGGTAATGATTATGAACTTGGGCTCCTGTAGCCTCGCTGTGGCAGAGAGTGCCTACCTGCCTGCTGTCACCTGTTTGTCCTTGGAAGCGGTACCCTGATTTACTCAGAGTGGGCAGACCCACTGTCCTCAGAGAGACTAGGACGCGGCCCATCCCGAGGACGCGCCCTGAATCCATGTGGGTGGACGCGGAGCCCCACCTCCGTTCAGCCGAGCCGAGGCCACAGCTTTGCAGTGAGGAGGCCGTGACTGGGTCCCGCGGGGCGGCCGCTGTCCGTGAGCCGCGACTGCACGCTGGGGACGCTCAGCGCTTCGAGCGGGAGGTTGGATTCTGGCTGTGGCTGTGCTGTGAGCTCCACCGAGCTGAGCCGTGGGATGGGACACAGGCTCAGCAGTGACTTGGTGCTTGCGGGGGGCGTGGCCTTTGTGCCGCAGTTGAAGCCTGATGCACGGACCCCTATGCTGCTTTCTCCTGGCCGTGTCAGTACGAAGCCAGTGGATGTCACAGCCGTTCCACAGCCAGGAAGCAGCAGGTGAGAGAGTGCGAGTTATGTTGTGTTCGGAGGCAGAGCTGAAGCTGAGGCAGAGCCCAGCTCCTGGTGGGTCGTCGGGGCTCTGCTTTACACCGCGAGGAAGGTCAGCAGCCGTGGAAGCTGTTCTTTAGCTA